GTGCCTAAGGCACTTGACTGCTAACCAGAAGGCTAGCGGTTCAAACCCACCAGCCACTCCTCGGAAGGAAGGTTGGGCAATCCTACTTCCGTAGTGACACTGCCTCGAAAACCCACGGAGGGGTCGCTATGAGTCAGGGCTGACTCCACGGCAAATAACAACAACAACAACAACATGCCTGTAGTTATGTTATAATCCCATTGGGAATGGGTTGTCTTTGTTATGTTAATGAGGCAGGATTAGTGTAGAGTGTGTCTTGAGTGGATCTCTTTTTGTCTTGGTTTATATGTCTGTGTGTTTAATTGTGATTTGGGTAAAAGTTTAACAGAACAAATTGATTTTCTATTAAATAATCCATACACATTCTGTGTTGTTACTTTCACTGTAATCTTCACACTGAAACAAAATTCTTCCCAATTTCTCCCTGTACATACATACCTTTTCCCTTTGTCCTTCCTTCTCATCCACTCCCACTTTCGTAGCTCTATCCTTGGGCAAATGCTATCCTCTTGATTGCATATGCTTAATTGCTGTAATGAGTGCATAACCTTCTGGTATTACTGTTCACTTTACAGGCCTGTCTGTTGTTTGGCTGCCAGTTGAGCCATGAGATTTCAGTTCAGTTTCTAGCTTGAAGGGTGGCTAAGGGCCATAGTCTTGGGAGTTCCACCAGTCTTCATCAAGCCTGTAAGCTTGTCTTTTTTATGATTTAGCATTTTGTTCCACATTTTCCCCCCACTCTATCTAGGACCTCCTATTATAATCCCTTTCAGAGTGTTCAGCAGTGGTAGCTGGGTACCATCTAGTTCTTCTGATCTTAGGATCATGGACACTGGGGTTCATATAGGCCATTTAGTCCTTTGGATTGTTTCCTTGCATTTCACTCTTCTCTGAATGGGGAGAGACCAATAGTAGCACCTTAGATAGATGCTCACAGGCTTTGAAGACCGCAGTTGCTACTTACCAAAGTAGGAATGTAGAACGTTGTCTTTGTGGACCATGTTGTGCTCGTTGACCTTAGTATGCTCCAAGACTGTGCTCCTGAATCTCCATGCCCAGTAACTCACTCCCTCAAGAATAGTTATAACTAAGACATTTTCATAACTTTTCCTGCTGCATGCTCTACTACATTCATGGGTATATGTATTTGCAGCACGTTTAAATACATAAGGAACTCTGGTGGTGTAGTGGATAAGGAGGCATTTGGCTGCTAACCTGAAGGTCATTGGTTCAAACCCACCAGCTGTTCCACAGGAGGAAGATAAGGCAATCTACTTCTGTAAAGATATACAGCTTTGGAAACCCAAGGGGTTGCTATGAGTCAGAATAGACTCGATAGCAGTGTTTTTCTTGTTTTGTTTTGAATACATAGGTAGAGATACTTTTTGTCAAACCTATATATATTTGTTGGGAGCTCGGTAGCATAGTGGCTAAGGCACTTGACTGCTAACCAGAAGGCTGGCGGTTCAAACCCACCAGCC